GTGTAAGCCGGTGCGGTCGGTGACGACAGGCGGCGCGGCGCGGTAGTGCTCCAGGCGGCTGTAGCGCTGCGGCATGGGCAGCTCGCTGAACTTGAGCACCGCGAAGGGGCACACGGTGGTGAAGCCCACGAAGCGCAGCTCGCTGGGGACACGGCGGTGGCACCGTCACCGCGGTGGCACCGTCACGGTGGTGGCACCGTCACGCGGTGTCCCCGTCACCCCATTGTGTCCCCATTGCCGCGTAGTGTCCCCGTCGCCGCACGGTGTCCCCGTCACCCCATCGTGTCCCCGTCGCCGCACGGTGTCCCCGTCACGGCGTTGTGTCCCCATCGCGCGGTGTCCCCGTCACCGCAGTGTTCCCATTGCCGCATCATGGCCCCATCACCCCGTCGTGTCCCCGTCACCCCATTGTGTCCCCGTCACGCGGTGTCCCCATCACCCCGTCGTGTCCCCGTCGCCACACGGTGTCCCCGTCACGGTGTTGTGTCCCCGTCACAGCAGTGTCCCCATCACGCGGTGTCCCCATCACCGCAGTGTTCCCATTGCCGCATCATGGCCCCGTCACCCCGTTGCGTCCCCGTCACCACAGTGTCCCCGTCATGTCCCCATCAGGCGGTGTCCCCGTCACCCCGTCGTGTCCCTGTCACAGCGGTGTCCCTGTCGCCACACGGTGTCCCCGTCACGGCGTTGTGTCCCCGTCACCCCATCGTGTCCCCGTCATGGCGTTGTGTCCCCGTCATGCGGTGTCCCCGTCACCGCAGTGTCCCCATCACAGCGGTGTCACTGTCACCCTGTCGTGTCCTCGTCGTGTGGTGTCCCCGTCACCCCGTTGTGTCACTGTCATCGCGGTGTCCCCATTACTGCGTTGTGGTGTCCCTGTCACCGCTTGGTGTCCCCGTCATCACGGTGTCCCCATCGCCATGGTGTCACCCTCACCGCATTGTGTTCCCATCACCGCGGTGTCCCTGTCACTGTGTTGTGGTGTCCCCGTCACCCCGTTGTGGTGTCCCCGTCACCCCGTGGTGTCCCCGTCACCGCGTCATGGTGACCCTGTCACCGCAGTGTCCCTGTCACCATGTCGTGGTGTTCCCGTCACTCCATGGTGTCCCCGTCACCCCATCGTGGTGTCCCTGTCACCATGGTGTCCCCGTCACCATGTCATGGTGACCCTGTCACCGCGGTGTCCCCGTCACCGCGTTGTGGTGTCCCTGTCACCGCAGTGTCCCTGTCACCACGTCGTGGTGTCCCCGTCACCCTGTGGTGTTCTTGTCACCGTGGTGTCCCCATCACCGTGCTGTCACCATGGTGTCACCATTGCCGCGGTGTCCCCGTCACCCCGTCGTGTCGCCGCGGTGTCCCCGTCACCCTGTGGTGTCCCTGTCACTGTGGTGTCCCCAACACCGTGCTGTCACCGTGTTGTGTCCCCCACCCTGTGGTGTCCCTGTCACCGTGCTGTCACCGTGTTGTGTCCCCATCCCCACGTCATGTCCCCGTCACATGGTGTCCCTGTCACCGCATTGTGTCCCTGTCACTGCAGTGTCACCATCACCGTGTTGTGCCCCTGTCACCACGGTGTCCCCGTCACACAGTGTCCCCATCACTGCGGTGTCCCTGTCACCCCCTCACGTCCCCATCACCACGGTGTCCCCGTCACCGCGGTGTCCCCATCACAGTGGTGTCACCGTGGTGTCCCCATCACAGTGGTGTCACCGTGGTGTCACCATCACTGCGGTGTCACCGTGTCGTGTCCCCATCACACGGTGTCCCCATCACTGCGTCGCGTCCCTGTCGCCGCGGTGTCCCCGTCACCGTGTCATGTCCCCGTCACCCCGTGGTGTCCCCGTCACCCCGTGGTGTCCCCGTCACCCTGTGGTGTCCCCGTCCCCGCGCTCACGGGGTGCTGCTGGACGAGTAGTGGTGCGAGCGCAGGCAGAGGTGGGACAGGACGTAGGCGACCGGGAATTTCCTCTTGACGATCCTGCCGGCTCCGTCGGGAATGTAGACGAGCTGCGGGAGAGGGGAGGGGGCGCGCGGTGCGTGCGGGATCCACGGGATCCATGGGATCCGCGGGATGTGTGGGATGTGCAAGATCCATGGGATGTGCGGGATCCGTGGGATGTGCGGGATCCGCGGGATGTGCAAGATCCATGGGATGTGCGGGATCCGTGGGATCTGCGGGATCTGCGGGATCTGCGGGACGTGCAGGATGTGCAAGATCCATGGGATCCGCGGGATCCGCGGGATCCGTGGGATCCGCAAGATCCATGGGATCCGTGGGATCCATGGGATCCGCGGGACATGCAAGACGTGGGACGTGCAGGATGTGCAATATCCATGGGATGTGCAGGATCCGCAGGATGTGCGGGATCCATGGGATCCGCGGGATCCACGGGACGTGCAAGACATGCGGGACGTGCAGGATGTGCAAGATCCACGGGATCCATGGGATCCATGGGACGTGCAAGACATGCGGGACGTGCAGGATGTGCAAGATCCACGGGATGTGTGAAGATCCATGGGATCCATGGGATCCGTGGGATCCACGGGACGTGCAAGACATGCAGGACGTGCAGGATGTGCAAGATCCACGGGATGTGCGGAATCCGCAGGATGTGCAAGATCCATGGGATGTGCGGGATGTGTGGGATGTGTAGGACCCATGGGACGTGCAGAAGCCGCAGGATCCACAGGATCCGCGGAATTCGCAGGACGTGTGGGATGTGTGGGATCCATGGGATCCACAGTGGGATCTGCAGGATGTGCAGGATGTGTGGGATCCATGGGATCCACAGGATGTGCGGGATCCACGGGATGTTTGGGATCCGCAGAATGTGTAGGATCCGCAGGACACGCAGGATCTGCGGAATGCGTGGGATGGGCAGGATCCATGGGATCCACAGGATGCACGGGATCCACAGGATGAGCGGGATCCACAGGATGTGCGGGATGCGCAGTATGTGAGGGATCTGTGGGATTTGCAGGATCCGCAGGATCCTTGGGACATGTGGGATCCATGGGATGCACAGGATCCATGGGACATGTGGGATCCATGGGATGCACAGGATCCATGGGACATGTGGGATCCATGGGATGCACAGGATCCATGGGACATGTGGGATCCATGGGATGCACAGGATCCATGGGATCCATGGGATGCACGGGATCCATGGGATCCATGGGATGCACGGGATCCATGGGATCCATGGGATGCACGGGATCCACAGGCTGTGTGGGATCCATTGGATGCACGGGATCC